TATTCAAGAAGAGTCATCTAGGTGGCCAGGTCATCCACAGTCTAGTATTTTCTATTGCAAGCAATACTGCAGTAAATACCCTTTGTACATGGTATATCATTTGTGTGTAACTAATGGATGGTTTCTGAGATGTATTGCTACTGTCTTAGAGGGTATCTGCTATGCTGATATCATGATGTGATGCTGATAGATACCACTGGTCTGCCTTCCTTAGTAGCTGTCACATTTTATTCTCTCTCCAATAGGGTTTCAGAATAACTGATTTTTTTTCCTTCTCTATGCCCTTGTCAAGAAGTACGTGCTGCACTTGGATTTTTCCAATCAGATAGATGACAAATACTATCTTAGTATAGTTTTAAAATTTGAATTCTTATCATAAATACACTTAAGGGATATTTGTGAAAGCTTTTCCAACTTCTTCGCCCATTTCTATTGTTGTTTTCTTTAATCCTGAATTCTGGGAACTACCATATATCAAGGAGATCAGATTTTGCTTATGAATTAAAGTATTTTAATGAATTTTCTTAGGTCTTTGAATTTTGCTTGGTGCATTTTTTAAAATTTGTGCTTAAATCCTTGAAAATGTTTACACATTTGACTTTATCATTATTTGCTCTGTAGGTTTTAGAACTGAATTACAGGTAGAAAGTAGTTTTATAATAACATTCACCTCTATTTTTTGGAGTACTTATTTGCTTTTATTTTAACACATTAATTTTGAACTATTTTGTTTTTATCTTGATTTACAATATGAACTATTGACCTGACATGTCTTTTATTCAGTTGTCTATATGCCATGTACAGAAAACTGAATCAAGGTGTCATCTTTACCAATCCATGTTTTTATCTGTTTGTTTTTGTTTTGGAATTTCTACCCTGTCCCACCTGCCTATATATTCAAGGTTAAGATTATAGGTATATATGGAAGCTTTCAAATTTTTCTGATTATTTTTACTTGGATCTTGTTAGATTTATGGAAGAATAAACATAATGATGCTTCATCTAGAATCATATATATGTGTTCGTTTAATTGTACTATTTATTCTTCATTTGGGTTTGGTTCATTTACACTGATCTTATTTTTAAATATTTATCTTTTCTGTTATTATAAATTATGCAAATGTCTTTTTTGAAGGTTATTAATTTCTATATAAGAATTTAAATTTTGCTTCTCATGTTGGTGTATTTTTAGTCGATTCTTTTACCTGTCTTTTGGAAAAAAAATTTAAAAACTGGAAATGCAGTTCATTTTACCTCTCTTTTCATTTTATACACCATTGTTTTTCTTCTCTAGTCTAAGGGCATAAATTAATATCTCCAGTAAAATACTGTTAGTTGTGTAATGAACACCCAGATTTTCTGGGATTTACATATATATAAGTCAGGGATATACATGTTAGATGAGTAGTTGAATATGCTTGAATTCATAAAATATACTTACTTGGTTAGCACACACTATTTTATTAACATGCTAAAGCTAATAACATGTTAACATGGCTCCTGATTGCAATTCTATAGGAGATAGATGTGTTTTTCCTATTCATGTAAATTTTAAACCAGGTTTTGGCATCAATATTCTGTTTGACTTATATAAAGAATTTACTTTGGACAATCTCAATGGCTTTTAAATATTATGCTCTTTAAAACTGTAATAAATTCTCCTTTGAAAGCTTTCAGGAAATAGAAGAAGAAAAAACATTCAGCCCATTTAATAAATCTAGCATTTTCCTGATTAAAGCAAAAGACATTGCAGGAAAAGACATCACATTTATACATCACATGAATATAAGTGATAAATCCCCTAACAAAATTCAGGCAAACTGAGTCCAGCAATATGTAAAAAGTATAGTAATTTATGACCACATGAGACTCAGCATTTGAAAATGAATCTATACATTTCACCATACTAAAAAGATATTTTAAAAACCATATAATTATTTCAACTGATGTATTTAACATCTATTTATGAGGGAAACTCACAAGACAGTCTTCTTAAATCTTATGTAATAGTATCAATGAATGCTTCCAGATAACATCAATAACTCAATCTCAGAAGACAGTGATTCCACCTTAGAGCAAAGAGAAGACAGCAATATAGTTTCACTGTATCATCTCAATATTTCACTGTGTCAGCACCAATATAATAGCCATGAATAAAGCATATAACCTAGATAGGAACAAGTGAGTATCTTTGTTTGAATATAAAATGATTGTCTAAATAGAAAATTCTAAAAAAAACCACTAATGGAGTTAAAATACAAAGTAAGTAAATATAACAAGATTGTAGGTCGCAAGTTCGATAAACAAAAGTACCATATTTCTGTTTACTACCAATGAACATATAGAAATACTGTAAAATCTGCCATGCATAATCACATGAAGCATTTAGAAATAGATATATCAAAAGAAGTGTTAGATATGTATGCTGACTATTACAGAACTTTGCTAACAAAAGTAAAAGTGGATCTATGCAATCAGAGAAATATGCATGCTCATGGATTAGAAGGTTTGATATTGTTAAATTGGCAGTTTTCCCTAAATTAATCAATACAATAGCCATATAATACTAATGGATTGGTTAAAAAACTAATGAGCTATTTTTGATATTTGTGGGAAGAAGGAAACATAAAACTAACAATGAGAATTTTGAAAAATGATGAAAAAGTCAGAGAACACAACCGTATACTTTCAAAAGTACTATAAAAGTACTGTATTTGAGACTGTGGTATTAACATAAAGAACAAGACAGAACAATGGAATAAAATAGACAATTTGTAAACAGATACTTACTAATATGATCCATTAGTTTTTAATAAAGTCACCGAAGTAATTCAATGTGGGAAAGGTACTCTTTTGACCAAAATGTGTTGAGATAATTATGTATGTATTATTGGATTTTTAAAAGACAGTATCTTATTATGCAGTCCAAATTGGTCTTGAACTCATTGTGTAGCCCAAGCAGGCTTCAAAATCAGAGTGATTTTCCTGGCTTACCATCCGAGTGCTGGGTTTACAGGTATGGATTCACATGGCCCTAGATTTCAAAAAATAATTTTTACCTTTATCATACTATAAGCAAATATTAATTTAAAATACAATACTGAACTATAAAATCTAAGACAATAAAACTCATGGATAAAGGAGAAAAGTGTTCATGACACTGTGTGAATCTGAGATTTTTCCAAATATGACATTGATCATAAAAGACAGCACAGAGTTTAATAAAATTTAAAACTTATTCTTTTGGAAACACAATGAAGGAAATGAAAAGGCAAGCTGTATATTGAGAGGAAATATTTGTAAAGTGTATATCTGTCCAAGGATTTACATTTAGAATCCATAAAGAATATTTATAATCTTATATAGCAAAAAAAAAAAAATAAAGAAAAATTTGGCAAAAGATTTGAACAAACTCTTCACATGAGGATGTACACAGATGAAAAGTAATCATAAGAAAATATATTCAATATACCTAGTCATCAGGAAAGCACAAATTAAAACCACCATAAAATCTCTCTATAATGGCTAAAATTTAAAGATATTAGCAATACCAAGTTCTGGCAAAGAATACAGAACAACTGAAACTCTCACAGAGGAAATCCAAAATGTTACAATATTTTTGAAAAATACTACACCAATGCACTCTTTGGTCTAAATATACATGTTACTTGACCCCATAATTCCATTTCTATATATCAAAGTACTAAATTAAGCAAATGTCCATATAGAGATCTTTCTAGCAGTATTGTTCATAAGGGCTGAAAGTCTGTACTATGCAACACTAGTTACCAGTGTAAAGAACAAGGTATTAATACACAGCATAAGAAATCTAAAAGCAATGTCAAGGGAAATAAACCAAAAGAAAAGAATGTTTCCTATACTGTTGCATTTATATTAAATACTGGAAAAGGCAAGATGCCATATCAGAACTGTGGTTGCTGAGGCCAAGGATCGAAGGAAAGCTCTATGATTTAAACATTTCCCTCACATTTGTGTATTGGAAATTTAATCTCCAACGTTAGTGTGGGAAGTTGGGTCTAATGGCAGATATGTAGGTCATGAGGGCTCTGCTCTCATAAATGGACTAATGTTATTGCCAAAGTGGTTTTGTGTTTACAAGAGTACCTTTGCAATAAATGTAAAGTGGCCCCTTCACACTCTCCCCCTTTGTGGTCCTTCTGTCTTGCCAGCATGAGATGAAACAGGGAAAAGGCTCTTACTGGATGCTGGTGCCATATTCATGGACTCCTTAACCCCCGCAACCACGGCTGATAAGTTTCTGTTCTTTCCAAGTTCTCTGGTCTTGGATATTCCTCCTGTCATAGCACAAAACAGACCAAGACAAAAAGCAAGCCCTGCAAAGAGCCTTAAGTATACTTTGCGGGGTGATGGAAATATATAGAGTGTATTTTGTTTCTAATGTTACATGACTTGTAGAGTTACCAAAACTGCCAACTATTTTGTATAGAATTGTCAGACAGTACAATTAAAATGGATGAATTTTTTTACATAATTTGTTTTGATAAATATAGGCAAAAAATTCAAGCCCAGTGATAATGAAAATACAACATCATCAGTTTGGTTTGAAGAGAAATCATTACTTAGAAAGATATTTATAGCTTTAAAGTCTTACTCAATACAAGAAGAAAAATTTAAAAATCAATAATCTAAATTTTTGCCTTAAAATCCTAGAAAACAAACAACTTAAGCCTAGGGCAAGCAGAAGAAAAAAATATTAAGGAAAAGAAAAAAATATATATATATAACACAAAACACATAGCAGAAAAATTTAAAAAGCCAAAATTTAATTATTTGAATGGACTTTTAAATTTTATAATCTAGCAAGATTGTCAAGCAACATGTGATTAATTCTGTGTAAAGAAAAGAGATAGCTCTAGATAGCTAGTAAACGTTAAAGGTCTCCGTTGTGAATTAAAAACTGGTGGTCAACTTAACACCACCAAAATGAATCAGAGTGATACTGAGTGTAGATGGCCCACCTGAGGAAAGTTGCCAACATAAAAAGAAGATGTGGAGAGGAAGAGCATAGCGTTGATTCTCCTAAATGGTAGTATTGTTTGAAGCTATTGGTTCTCCCAGAGGAGCTTGTCATGCTGGCTCCCTTGACATGGACTTGGCTGTTTTCATCGGAGGAGCTTGGGACCTTGTTGCTGAGAATGGCTGTGGTTCACTGTGGAAGAGCCCTGGTCCTTATTTTGAGCGTTGCTTCTTGATTCAAGTACAGACCCTTGACCTGCTGGCACAGATCCTTCACCCCGTTGGCATAGACTTTCTAGCTTCCACTGCTGACCTTTGGACCTTCCCAGCACAGATTCATGAAATAGACTTGCATGAGTCATTGTTGTAAATTCTAGATTTTCAGTTGAACTCAGGCAGGTTATTGCCATGGGATCCAGGCCCTCGAGTGGATTTTCTAGGTTCTTAAGTTTTCTGGGCGGATTTCCCGTACTTTCTTTGAGTTTGACTCCTTGGAAGACCATCATAAAATAATACTGTAAATTACGTGTCCTAAATATAATTGTTCTCCTTGCAACCCTGACTACAACAGTATCATAAAAGAATATTTTGAACAACTCTGTTAATATAGCTAAGAAAAACAGACAAATATTTTAGCAAGGCTACCAAGAAATAGAAAAGTCTGAACTTTTAAAACCAAAATTGGTTTGAAAATGAAATTTATATTAATACCTGTGTATGAAGACAATGCCAGACCTAGGTGGTCTCATGTCTCAGAAAACTCTGCTAAAAATAATGAGAAAAATAGTTTCCAACCCATTTTATGAAGCTAGCATAAGCTTAATTCACAAAATTTTTCAAGGACATTATAAGAAAAAAAAATAAGATTAATACTCCTTATGCCCAAAAGTACAAAATCTTTATACCAATCTATTAGCAAATAGAAGCTAGCAATGTATAAAAAGACAACACATTGCAACCAGGTAGTGTCTATCTCAGGAAGACAAGATTGAATCAGTCTTCTAAAATCAATTCCTGGGGCTGTGGTAGCTCAGGAGCAGACTGCACTTCTTTATGGTGGCGTAATCATGATGGCTGATGACTTTGAAAGAACTGACCAAAACAGGGCACAAGACACTTTTTGAAGCTATTGAAATGTTCCATGTCGTGATTGCACTGTTGATTACACAGATACCTGAATTTATCAGAACTCATTAAATTATATACTTCCTATTCACATAAACATTTATTTCTATAAAAGGTAGTAAAATGAATTACAGGAAGAGGAGAAATATAGTATAGTGGTATAGTGACAAATTCTCACTAATAACCAGAAGTCGTCTCCATTTTGAAATTCAATCCTTTCTTCGTTTTTTTTCTTTTTTCTTACTCCTCCTTCCTGGGCCAAAAAGTACAATATTTTATTTATCTTCATAGGAAAAATTGATGCAGTCAGCTGAGTTTGAGAGAGGTTAAATATATTGCCCCAAATCAGACAGTTAATTTGGCTCAAAGTCAGGCTAGAACTCGGTTCTTCCAGATTCTTATTATTTTCTCCAATTCTACTGTAGAACACCAACTCCACCAGCACTATCTCTGCCTGCCCCAAACCTTTTGTTTTCATCTGCTCTTCATTTCTTTTGGTTGCCATGCTGTTTGGTAGTTCATTAATTCCTTAGTTTGACAAAGGTTTACTCGGTTGAGCACTTAGTCTGCGTTAGGGAGGTGTTAGGTGCCTGCTGCAAAGGAATTCGAAATCCAGGGGGAAGACGAGAACAGAAACAAACTGTAACATGAAGAACATCAGTGTACAGCAGAAGCAGCCTCCGGAGGGACAGCTCAACAGATGGTAGGACTGACAGCAGGCAGGGGCAGGTTGGAGCGGATGAAGCTTCTTGAAAGAAGTAAGGCCTGTATTGAACAAGCCGGGTGGAAACACGGGGCAAGGATGATCCCACAGAATCGGCAGCCTGGGCACAGATGTGGCATCATGCTGGAATATGACCTCTTCTGGAACTGCAAACAATTTCAGTCAACTTGCAGACGAGTTCCAGCGAAGAGTGGAGAACAGCTGCAGGAGAGTGACTCCCGAAAGGCCTGCTTGGCGTGGCTGGGGTGTTTGCATGTGGTTACAAGGTGAGGGAAGGGCACTGAAGCGGTTTAAAATCCATCAGGCAAGGGAATTCAGTATGTGTTTTGGAAAGATCACGCTAGCAGGATTAGGGAGAAAGGAAGGGTCAAGTTGCTGGTGCTTTAACAGAGCCTGGCAAAACCAAGGAGCACTGGTGAAGAGAGAGAGGGGAGACCTGGCGGATCCGCTCACTGCGTCCTAAAAGGAGAATGCCAGGGCGATGGAAATACTCCCTGCTTCTCATAAGACGTAGAATATCTGCACTCCAACACAAGTACGTAATACTCACCCAAGTCACTGGCCCATTGTTGTTCTTCTACATGTACAGCTTGTTTTCATCCAATTCTTCAGTCATACCACTGTTCACCTATTAATAAAGTCTGATATGAATTTGTAGAGATGAAGCCACTGCAGTATGAAATTTGCCCCTCTAATAGAAAATGATCTTTATTAGCTATATAAAGGCTTTTCTTCCTCCTCTTCCTCCTTTTCTTCTTCTTCTTTATCTTCTTTTTTTTTAGACAGAGTTTTGCTATGTACTTCAGGCTACTCCTGAACTCACTATGTAGCCCAGGCTGGCCTCACAGAAATCCTCCTGCCTCAGCCTTCCGAGTGTTGGATTATAGGCATGTACAAAAAGCTATTTTTTAAGAGTGGATAACCATGCATTTATAAAAACCTTTGTCTTTTTCTTCTTTTTTATTTTGTCTCATCCCCTTTTTCCTCCATTTCCCCATGTCCTCTGCCTGCCTTTTTTTCTTTCTTTCATCCTCTCTTTCCTTTCCTCTAAACTTGAACCGACTGCAGTAATGAGTTCTAGTATAAGTACCGTCAACTCTCAGATCAGAGTGAGACATGTCATCCTGAGCTTAGCATTTCCATGGAGAGCTCCCTCAAATCCTCCTTCTCACTGCCTGTCCTGCTTGTCACCTGACCTCACGGCTTCACTTCCGCAGGGTGGATTACACTCTTTCCCCAGCTGGTGTACAGACACCACCTCATGGAAAGGAGTTTAAAAATAAGCATAAACTCGTGAGAAGACGGGAGGTGGACGTGGAAGAAGAAGGAGGGAACGGGATTCCGTGTAGAGAGAGCTTTAAAACTGTGCCAGCTGAAGCTCCGCGTACCAACGAGGAAGAAGCACATGAACGAACACAAATCACCACGTGGGACTGGGATGAAAACCTAGGCTGAAGCAATAAGACGTTAAGGTCACCTTCTGGAGGACTTTTTATCTCCACTCCATTGCAATCAACGCTTGATGTATAAGGCTGATGAGAAGAACAGTGAACCACTCATGAAATCAAATTACGGAGTTTTCATTAACTTATTTTAAGAATTAAAAAAGACTAATTCATCCAGCATCAGTGCCGACTTATCAATAAATATTGTTATGTTACAATATTTTATGAGATTTACTAAGATAACAGTTTCTCAATATAAATTTATTTTAGTTTTTTAGCATTTTTATTATTACTAAGAAAAAAATCTCAGAGTGTATTTAATCTTAAAAAGTATGGTACAAGAAAAATTAATTTGTGTAAACATTTTTATATAAAATTCTGGTGTCTCCCTAAAACTCTAAATAAAAGTGTGCACTTTTAGCCTTAATAGAGATCACTATCATAACATCTTATTTAATTTTATTTTAATTTCTGTAAGTCATAAGATTACAATGTGCCATTCATGAAAGTTTGTGGAAATCAAGGTCACTGAAAATCAAGACCTCTTTATAGTTTTAGTAATATTACTGAAGCTATGGTTATATTCTGACAGTAGAATTGGATGTTTTTCAAATTTTCAGTTTGCTGACAAGGGTTATTAAAATAAATAAACCAAAAGTCTCTGAAAACACTCAGTACAACTTAGACCTTTGCCTCCAGACAAGCAAATCTGACTCATTAGAGATAACATAGCAAGTAAACCTGTATAAACACCCTACTTACCTAGACTGAGTACAACAGTATTCAGGGACTAATGGAGTAAATATTAAGGCACTCTCTTTCAACAGTGATCAATAGACCTCAGAAATTATATCAGTAATTTGCAGAATTTAATTCTTTTAATCCATGTGCAAAGGTTTTTCCATAACCTACATAATGTTCAATTCATTAGAGAGTTTAGTGTCTAGCTCTAAAACAGAAACACACAAGCACACACAGAAATACTGTAGCCATTACTCCAAATCATTTAGCCTGCTGTTTGTAGAAGAAGAAAGTTAACAGCAGATGAATAAATCTTCCTCTGGGAGATACTACAGTGCTGAGGTCAATCTAAAATGTTCCCCCAAAGTCTCTTGTGTTCAGAGATGTAGTATTTTAGAAGGCACCTGGATCACAATGGAGCTAAACTTGCCAGTGGCTTAATCTATCCTTGAGTGCATAGCTAAATGTGCTTAGGAGGCAAGCGTTTGGTTGGAGAAGGTAGATCACTGGGGATGGGCCTGGGAAGGGTGTCCACTGTTCCTACCTTCTTTCCTTCTCTCTGGAGTTTTTCCCTGCTCACTGCTTCCCAGATTCCAGGAACAGCTTTTCCACTGCCATTCCCTTCGGCCATGAAGTTTTCGCTTTCAACCTAGGTGACCTTGGACTGAAACCTCTGAAACTATGAACCAAAATAAATCTTTTCTTCTTTAAATTGTATGTATCAGATATTTTGTCCCATTAATAGAAAAGCTGACCAATCCAGTTAGTATGCTCTTTATTTTGAAAGAACCCAGTGACAGTGAACCTCTAATTCATGTTTCTGTCTACCAATCAATAAATCTTATTTGAGACTAGTAGAATAACTATTCTTACAGGATAAAGATAGTCAATTTTATCACTGATTGTTAGAGGTAAGCATAATGTCACCAACATAAAAAAAGAGGTACAGTAGTATATGAACCAAGCCTGGACAAAAGAAACGGGAAAATGAGCAACAGTTGTTATGTTTTTATTATTGCTTTTAATCTTATATGTGACTTTAAATTCTTAATAAATTAACAAATGCTCACACATGGAGAATTTTTATGTATGTAAGCTTGCTTCTTTTGCGTTAGCTGTAAGAGAATTTAAACATTGCTTCAGCCATTTCCATATAAGTCTAAATTCTGTATAGCCACAGGTTTGTCAGAACTGATGGTGACAGTTATATTTTAATCATGAGATCACATTATTATGAGCAAGTGAAAATGATATTCTTGATTTGCCTTAAAAGTCTTCTATAATTGAGGGTTATTTTCGTAGCTTGATAGCATGTCGTACCAATTCTAGATTTTCACACTTTTTCTTCAACTTCCTCCCATCTCAGTCTAGCATAGCCGGATCCATCTTTCCAAAGCCCTGCTTCCTCATAACATTCTTCTTTCTGCTAAATACTTCAGGGCCCCCGCCAGACAATTTTGTTTGCTTTCTTCCCCCAAGGCTTTCTATAATTTTTTCCGTACTGATTATTCTACTTTCTCTTTTAAACTCCCAGCAGAACTTCAGGTCCTCTTACTTAGAAGTCTTCCTTCACCTTGCAATTTACCTAAATCCTGTCTTGACTTTAAGTTTAGTTTCCGATCATTCAACACAGAGGTCTTCCTTAAAGCATAGCCCAGTTCAAACACTTATGGATTGCGTACTCTGTATCTGGCAAGTGGAGAA